GACTGGTTCAGATTACCAATAAGTGAGACAGTTATTTTTAGAGGCCAGCGTATACCTATAAGTGTGAGCAGGGTGAAAACCCCTTACTGGGAAATTCAGTAAGTTTTCCCTATCCAAATAAACCTTTGTATTACACCACTTTCATTTCTAACTTCCTCTTTCGCCATAGAGCTGACATCTGTTTCTGCTGGAATCTTTCAGCTTTGAGCCAGACTCACCCCACTTCTTCCTTCTTTGCTGGAGTGAGGGCATGAACCTGGGGGTGTGGGGTGCATTAGAGGGAGAGACAGACGGACAGACATGGGCGAAGGGTTGTCTCACCTAGCTCCCTGGAGCCAGGCAAATGCTACAAAATTAAAATAAAATTTCTGTCAGCATTATTCAGGTTGGAGAGACAAGTGGGTGTATATTTCTTTCATCAAGAAATGCTTCCTCCTTTGAGAGCTGACACATTCAGGGACTGCACGGGCTGCAGACAGTGCACACAGAGAAGGACGAGAACAGGACAAGAAAAGAGGTCATTACATGAAAGGTGGTTCATGGTCAGGGCTGGTCACTCGCTGCTTGAAGGGACTAAATTCTATCTCTGGCCCTGCCAGCTGACAGCTGGGTGAGGAACCTCTCATTCTTCTCTCTGAGAAGATGGCACTTGATGAAAGGTTGCTTTTAGCTATAATATTAAGAACACTAGCTTTAAAATATCTCATGAACTTTAAAGACAAAAAGGAAGCATCCTCATTCTGGAAATTCCTAGTTTTATACTTGGAAAAATGGTCTCATGTTCAAAAGTAATCCAGAAATCAAGACAACAATCCTTTGACTTTTCAAAGGACATGATAAATTCACATGGAAGTTTGGTGGAGGACTTTGCAATGACTTTGCCTCAAAACTGTAAAGAGCATTTCAGTAAACTAAGATTAAAAAAAAAAAGGACATGAGACTCGTTATGTAAAGTATAAACCTATGAAATACTTTACCTTGAAAGAAACCCTATGCTGGGTCAAGTGCTGTTATGTGTTTAGTTATTTACTTGGAGACTGAGGCAGGATAATAGCTTGAGACCAGAAGTTTGAGGCCAGCCTGAACAATACAGTAAGACCCAGTCTTTAAAGGAGAAAGAAAGAAACAAAAAAGGAAAGAGAGAAAGAAAGGGAGAACACGAACGAACAACTCTTCTAATAAAGCTTATCACTCTACCACTTGACGGGACATTGAAAGTAGAGAAGAAAGGCAAGATTAAAAAGATGAGGTCCACCCCAAATGCTGCAGAGATCTTGTGAAGTGATTCCCTACTACACTGCAGAAATAAGACCATATGATATAGGTCTCTCCTGACCTTGTTTCCATATTCTGGCCAGCAGTCTGAAAGCTAACGTAGTACTATATTATTGCAATAACCTCAATATCTTAATTATGGACTTTAACAGTCAATCCACAATTTAGAGCTTATAAAAACTAGCAAAGAAAGGAAAAGAATATAATTTTGATGAAAACCTACCAATAAAGCAGCTAGGATAAAGCAAAACATATATATCTCTATCTATATAGATAGAGATACACACACACACACACACACACACACACACACACACACACTCTTTTAAATATCTTAAGAGGTTACTATAAGCAAAATGACTCTAGAACCCTACTTCCACCCTAACACCTTTCAAGAGAATGTCTTACAAACACCTTCAATCAGAATGCCAAAACAAATCCTTCAACTCCTCAGAAATCCACTTCATCTTCTACTTCCTTGTTGTTAAGTCTCCTATCTTGATGTCCTTCCAAAGACTCGTATCTTGATGTCCTTCCAAAGACTCCTGTGCTCACAAATGAGGCTTTTGAGAGGTAGCTGGACCAAGGGGCACGATGATGGGTTATGGTGTGCAACAATGGGATTATGGGTGTGTGATAACTAGCTTGACTTACACAGTTGTTTTGTTTTATTTTTTGGTACTCAGAGTCAAACTCAGGACCTTATGCTTGCCAGGCAGGCACTGTACTGCCACTGAGCTCTGTCCCCGGCTGGACTTACACAGTTCTGGATATGGATACTGGAAGCCCCACAGTGGGTGTCAGTGGCACCAATCGATAGGCTTGAATGGCTCATAGCCTGGAGGGAACATAGAGGGACAGAAAGAAAGCAGACTTTCGCTGGCTGCCTCCTGCCTGCTCTGCCACGGGCAGTTTCTCCTCTGCGATGCTGCTTCTCATGCCACCCTGTATGGAAGCCAGCCAAGTGTGGAGTAAAACCTCTACAAAATGTGAATCAAAATAAACCTTCCCTCCTCTACCCTGTGTCAGGTATGTTGTCACAGCAATGACAACATGAGTGACCTATGAAGTACTTT